CTGCTACCTCCTCCTTCCCATTTCCTGGTCTAATTTCCAAAGATCATAATACTGCCGACATCGGTAACAGCAGAGCTGGCACCTGGTCCCTTCCACCTCTCTGCAGCACTGGCAGCAAGTGGAGGGAAACACCCTCTTCCAGGCCCAGTGCTGCCTATTAACAGGGCTTCCTCAGCCTAGCAATCTTGCCCGTTTCCAGCTTGAATGAATATCCTCCAGGCTACACAAGTTCTTCATTTGTTTTCCAAGATGAACTGAAGACTCCTTAGATGGGAGCCAGGTTCTAGCGAGCCCAGAGGACATAGAGAGACATGCCTGTTAAATACTGATCCTATTGATGGCCCTGGAGCAGGCAGATCTGGTGTCTACTTCTTTGATATGCCTCCTTAACCAAGTTAGTGCCTGTCTACCCACCAGCTGCCCCTGGGAATGTTTTAGAAATACCACTTTACAGTGATGAGATAGGTCATCCTTTCCCACTGGGCCTGGCTTCTCTGGGTTTTCTAATACAGGTCTGCTGAAATTGAAACAGAAGGTCTTTGCTTTCCCTGACCTTTGTGTTTCTCACATCCATCAGAAAAGAACAATGCCACAGTGAAGTACTCAGAGCCGAGAAAAGAAGATTGCTGCATCCAGTTAGCTAAGTGGAAGGAAAACATTGGGCTTCTTTTGCATCAGCTGTGGAATTGATGTTGCTGCAGGTGTTTATTCAATATATCTTTATAATGTGCCATTATGTGCTTAGGTGCTAGGGATCCAAACTAAATAAAACCTTGGCTCTGCCCTGGAAGGGCTTACAAGCTTCAAACCTGGGTTAATGGTTTTCTAAGTCTAGGCCAAATTGTTTAAATATTTAAACAGAATACATCTATTTGCTTGGTGAGAGAAGTGGGCATTTTGTCTTTCAAGGCTGGAGGAGGCTGGGTAGGTAGAAGTGGGGGAGGAGGTACTACAGGCTGTGCAATCCTTCCAAAAAGGCATAATTCCACAAAGGATGGAAATGGAGTCTTCAGCCTATGCCAGGTATTTCATATGAAAAAATTACCCATAATTCTCCCTGGATGGCCATCTTCAGCATAGGCCCACAGTGGCAGAAGGACTCATGGGAACCACACAATGGCCTCAGTGTATTTCTTTAGCCAGAAATGGCAGCCAGCAAGGGAGACCTGGCTCTTTTCCTCCCTAATTTCCCTCTTACGACTGCAAAATTGAAAAGTCAAAGATATCAAGAGCCAAGCAAATAACACAGAGCTGTGAGACTGGAGGGACTATAAGAACTATGTATACTTTTAAAGTATTCAAATGCAAAAACAAAGTCAATGACACACTGCTGTCCCCTGTGTTTTCTCAGTCTGGACCAGGTCTTAAGATACAGCTTCGTTATTTCCATCCATGTAAAGGTAGGCACAGTACTTTGTTTCTTTTAGCATTTCATCTCCTTAAAAGGGGATAATAATACCCATCCTGCATATATCACCAGGTGGTCATGGTAATTTAATTATCAAATATCTATAAAGCATTTTAAAACTATAAATCATTACAAAATTTCAAGCAATTTAACCAATATCAAGCCTTCCTTATCTCCACATGTTTAATTTATATTCTCTCTTGGAACTGCGACATGAATTCCAAACTGTTTTCCAGAATTTCACTTATCATATTTGTTGAAAAAAGTACTCTTTTCCTGCTGCCCTAACTTGTTGAAAGTATAGCTTATATCAAATCTACAAAATTATTTACTAGCTACTGAGCTTGGCCTTGTAGGAGATACAAAAAAAAAAAAAAGCACAGGATTCACTTTTTGCATTTACAGAGCAAATCCCCCATTTGCACCACAATATACCCACATGTATGCTAGAGAAGGATAAGAACAGCCTATGTGCCCTTGCTCCTTTGATGCCTCCAAATGCCTCCAGTACACCTGGAGTTTTACTTCAAATACAAGCAACAGCTGGTGTTCATGATTTAAAGTTCAATATAAATAGCAAAGAGAACTTGTTTTATAAGCTGCCTAGGTTGGCAAAATTCCAGAGTTCATCAAACAGAAAATAAGGATGATGATGATGATGATGGTGGTGGTGGTGGTGGTGGTGGTGATGATGAAATGATTCCATACCATTGGTCTTTATATAGTAACATGAAAGACGTGTAATCTACGTAAGAGTCCAGAGTTGGGCCACATTCTTAACTTCACCCAAAATAGAATCATAGCAGGGCCTTCCCAGAACCTGTGACTCTCAGAGATGACCCCCTATGTTCAAAAGGGTTGTGCTTGGAAGCTGAGCCTATGAAGGCTTCAGGCAGTGGTCTTTTACTCTTATACAGGGGCACTGGTATCTATACAACATATAAATGCTCTCTACAAAACCAATATTCAAAACCCAAATAATACTAAAAATGACTAAATATCCAACTAATGTTTTTCTGTAAACTGTTAAAATTTTTATTAGAAGTCTCCTGAAAGTCTGGAGCAAATAAGCCTCCACTTTGGGAAAATGCCAACAATCTGATTCATAAATGAATTTCCATCACTCGGTGAGAGTAACACTTCTAATACATACTGAGTGCGTCTATAGCCGGGTAAGGTCCTGAGTACTTTAATGTACCAGTTCATTTAGTTCTCTTGATAAGTCATTGTGGATGCTATCATTACTCTCATTAAAGATGAGAAGGGCTGGGGGTTCAGCTCAGGGACAGAGCACTTGCCTAGCATCTGCAAAACCCAGGGTTTAAACACTGGCACCACAAAGCAGGCAGGGAGGTTGGGAGGGAGAGAGACATAAAGAGGAACGAAAACAGATTCCCAGGGGTTTCATCATGGTGCACACATCAAGGTCACACAGCCAAATGCAGGAGTTGAGGCACTGTGCTGCTCCCTACAGTCTGTGACCCTGAGGACAGAGCGGAGATGATCAGATGCGTGGCATCCAGATCACTGAAGTCAATAAGTGACCTTCATCTCAGGGGGGAGCCCATGGGTGGCAGCTAATCCCGTGCACAGCCACAGACTGTCCTCCTCACCCTGCCAGCTGCTTCACAAAGGCCTTCTTTCAGTCCAGCAGAACCAGGAGTAAGACCAAGAGATGGGGATTCAGAGAACCCCCTTCCCAGTACTGCAACTGCTGGATCGGAAGGTATGCACTTTAGAAAATAGTGTGAAACTATTTTCCAAAGTGGTTACTACTCTGCCTCCCCAGTGAAGTATGAAACCCTGATGTATACAAACCAAATGAGTATCACATGGGTCTTTCACTGTAGTCCTGTTTTGCATGTCCTCGATCACTAGTCATCCTTCATACATTTATCAGACATACCCACTTTCTTCACCCATTTTTCTGTGGGATTATTTGTGCTTGCATTGATTTGTAGATCTTCATGCATCCTTTGTCTGTGGTATGTATGAGGAACATTGTAGATATCTTCTACCAAGTAACTCCTCTTCTTTCTTTATGGCAGCTTTTAATGAACTAAGGTTCTTGATTTTACTATGCTCGCAGGTAATAGTCCTCTTCTTTTTATGGCTTTTTACATCTTAAGAAATCTCTGCCTCAAGGGTTATAAAGGACAGTCTCCAACTGAGGGCAGAGGTCACAAATGAAGCTAGGTACCAGGCATGTCAGAGGCAAGCACTGTCACACCTACTGTCTAGCCAGCACAAGTGACCAGCTGGCCGGCTGGCAGGTGTGTTCTGGTTATAGAACTAGATATATCGTTCTATTAAAGCTGGGTGCCATTAAAAATTCTAATCATAGACTGTAATTAACTTTCCTTGCTCTGACGCCCTCTCACTAAGCAACCTTCTGATTATAATTTGGCTTCCCATGTATCTTGCCTACAGGGAGAGAATGTACTGAGAATGTACTGTTCAGGCCAACGTGAGGATCCAATCCATTAAACAGTTACATGCCATAATGTAAATTAATAAATTTGTATTCTGATTATATCATCTGCCTCATCTGTGCTCTGAAGGCGTGAGTCAGCATCCCCAGGACTAATCAACGTGGACAATGAGAATATCAAGCTTCTGCTCTGAAAACCTCAAATCTAGACCCAAAACAGTGAAATCACCAAGGTAACATTGCCCTGGAGGCCTCTGGGTCTGATGAAGAAGGCCTTCCTACATGGCATGTGATCCGGACAGGGATTACAATTGACTTTTGACATTATCAAGAGCTGCATATTCAAAACCAGGGCTTGGTTCCATTCAGGTGAAGGCGAAGAATAGAGGATGATCATGAGACTTGTACTGAATATTTATTGGCTTATAAGCACACACCAGATGCTGTACAAATCCTAGGCAGAAGGTTAAGATTTACAGACATGCATGAAAAAAGAAATAAAAAAAAGGACAGATGGTAGGTGCTGAGGATAAATGGTGGAAGAGGTGTCTGACTGATGAATTCTTGATCCATGTAGGTACTCAGGATCCAGGACACACAATAGAGGAAGGTAACTTTAAAGGCAAAAAAAAAAAAGCAAATGCAGGGCATACCAGAGCACAAACTGGAATGTGCCAAGGCATGAGAATATGCAGACCAGAGGAAGATTTAGGGTCTGTGGGGTGAGGGCAAGATCTTCAAAGTGAATTCAAAAGGCAAAGTAGGGAAGAGCCTGTTAGGACAGATGGGGACAATTGTGCAATCCTGCTAAGTAGCCTGCCCATTCCTCTGTGATCTCAGGGGAGCAGCAACTACAGCGACACTCATCTCCTTCTGAGAACCCAGCTACACTAGATGAAAAGAGAAGAAAGCAGTAAGAACTGCAGTATCTTGAAATTCTTTAGCTTAGTGGTGGGAAGAGAGCTTCTACTTTGTACTCAGGCCAAAAAAGAAGGGAGATGAGGCTGACCAGCACTGATGACCCTGCAGGATTTGTCGTTCAAAGAAAAATATGTTCCTGAGCTTCGTGCCATGGTGCACAACTCATTCCCAGCTTCTCAGGAGGTGAGATGGGAGGATCACTCCAGCCCAGGAGTTCAAAACCAGCCTGGGCAACAGAGTGAGACTCCTGTCTCAAGAAAGAAAAAGACAAATTTGGTCCAGAAAGAGTTAAATAAATTAAAGGACGTTGTGATCCAACTAAAGATAAGTATTGTCTCACACAGTGCCTTCCATGGGCCCCACAAGAACCCACATGGTTACATGTGGAGGAGGGTACAGAACAATCAGAAATGCTCTTTGGTTCTGAAAATGAGGTAGAGCTATGTCCCCCAGGAAGGGACAACCCTGACTATGGTCTGCCCCACTGTGTGGAAGGAGGGGTATACCAAAGGCTCAGCAAAGCAACAGGACCAAACAGGGTAGGCTGGGGAAGCACTCCTCACAGGGAACTCCAGGGAATGGCCCAGCCATGCTCTCTAACCTAGAGGATCTGGCTCAGGCATGAAAGAATGAGCTCCTTTAATAGCAGCCTCAATGAGTGTACACATGGATACAAATCAACATAGACAGAAGGTCCCCTCATTAGTAGAGATTGTCCCGCACATGCTCCATGATGGTCTTCAGCCCCAGCCATGTCTCCTTCGCAGTAGGGATTATCTGGTTGGCAGGCAGGAGGAAGCCAAAATGTCCTGTGTCTCTCAACTCAAATGTGAATGCATACTTTATGCCATTATCGTATGCCCAGTCAACGCTGCTCCCACTGGCAGGGTCTGTAAGTGAAAAACAAACACTGCTTTAGCTCGGTTCCCTTTAGAGTACCAGGAAGTCCACCTTAACCATCAATCCACGGTTCTTACCGGAAGTCACTGGAAACAATGACTCCATTCATACACCTCTGTCCCCCTACACCAGAAGGGTTGGCACTAGTATCCAACCAAGAGATCTGAAATCCCTACTCCCACCTCACCACTAACTCTGTCCAATCCCAAAAGTCACTCAAACCAACCTTCACAGAGACAGAGCATAGTAAACAGGCTCTGAGAAAGACCCAAGGCCCTGTCTCCTGAAAACCATGTTCTTACAGAGTTCTCCCTTATGTGGTATAGAACTGGCCTCCCCTACATGCCTAACAGAATACTTCAGAGACAAAGCTGCCATGAAAGTCACCCTGGCTTTTGCCTTGGTCACTTTTGGGTCCTTCATTCTGGGGAATGCCAGGCACCATGTTGTAGGAATACTCAAGAGGCGCATGTGGTGAAGAACTGTGACCTCCTGCCATAAATCAGCACGAACTCACCAATAACTCCCCTGACAAGCAGATCCTCTAGCCCTGCTTCACCTTTAGTGATTGGTCCTGCAGGACACCTTGACTGTAACCCCACACAAAACCTTGCACCAGTTTGCACTCAAACTGAACTGCTCCTAAATTCCTGATCCCCACCAACAGTGTAAGAAAGTAAATGTTTATTGTGTTAAACTGCTAAGTTTATTTTATACACAGCAAGAGACAACTGATACATAGAGAGAAGGAGGGAAGGAAGCATACTGCCAAAAGGCTTGACAGAGGTAGCCAGGTGGAGTGGTGCACACCTACAATCCCACCATTCTGGGAGGTTGAAGCAGGAGGGGCTAAAATTCAAGCCCATTGTGAGCGATTAAGTGACTTATTGAGGTGTTGTCTCAAAATAAAATATAATAAATTGCTGAGGATGTAGCTCAAGGAGAAGACCTCAGGTTCAATTCCAAGTAACAGAGAGAAGGGGGTGGGTGAGACTTCAGAGTAGCAAGAGACTTATTTTTCCTCTTCTCCATCAAACTGTACTAGAGCAGGAAATGGCTAAAAGGGCAAAAGGTAGGTGATCTTGAATCTTGAATAATAAAACAATTATGCCAATAATTATGTATTACTCATTTAGCATCTATCATGAGCCAGTCATATTAGACACTTTATATTTATAATCCCATAATCTTGTATTTTGGTACCAGGGATCAAACTCAGTTCCTTGTGCTTGCAAGGCGGCAGAACCACTGAGCTAAATCCCCGGCCCCTATCCCCATAATCTTTTAAAAACAAGGGAGAAGTTGAGCATAGTGGCGCACACCCGTAATCACAGCACTCAGGAGACTGAGGCAGGAGGATTGCCAAGTCTGACACCAGCCTGGGCTAGTGAGTTCAAGGCCAGGCTGAATCATAGCAAGACCCTGTCTCAAAAATCAAAGAACAAAACAAAACAAAAACCAGGAAGGTGAGTATTACAGATGAGGAACTCCAGGCTCCGAATGGGTAATTCATCTGAGGAAAATACAGATAGAAAATGGCAGAGCTGGAGTTTTAACTCAGGTCCATCTGATGATAAAGCCCAACCCTTTCTCAATGACCCTCAGATCCATGAGGGTCCTAACATGTCTGTCAAGGGAAAATCTGAGCCCTTTTGCCTTCCCATTGTTCCCAAGAGTTGTTTCTCAAGATGGCACTTTGATGTTTCTAGAGCTGTTGTTGCTTCATGAGAGCTCATGCACTCTCTGCTGTGTGATGCCTGTAACCGAGAAAAAGCTTCAGCAAGAATAGGCGATGGTACCAGAAGTTTCTAGAGGTTCTTTACCTGGTACTTCTGAATACACTTAAGATTCTGGAAGGAGGCAAAAAGGCTTCCTCTCAGCAGACAGAGTGATGGAGTCCATGAACTTCACTTTATTTCAATACCTGTTCTACATCCACTTTTTTTTTAACACTCATAGGAACATACTACCAACACTGCTTTACATATTGTATTTTTCGGTTAACAATTGAAGATTATCCCCTATTAGCATATATACGTCCACCACATTCATAGGAAGGCAAGGTGGTATTTCTCCAGATGCACCAAGTGTGCTCTTATCACTCTCCTGTTGGACATTTTAGATGTTCACCAATCTTCTGTGATGGTAAAATTACTGGGATGTGTATCTTTAATATTCATGATTTAGCCACCAGTCGGATGAGCTCAAAGAACTCATTTCCAAGCATGTAGTCCAACAGAATCAATGAAGAGAAGGGGAAAGGCTTGCTAAAGGTAGCCAGCCTGAAAATAGTACAAGATGCTCCTGACGAGATTGAAGAAGGCCACATCAAACCTATGAACGGCAGACACAGGAGAAGAAGCTGAATAGGCTGAGGCTGTTTAGCAGAGGTCCAACAGTACAATAAGAAGTATTCAAGATCTAGTAACTGATGTCCAGAAAGCCACTCAGTCACAAAGAAAGGGGCTCAAATCCCTCCACATGCTGTGTGGAAGCAGGAACGTGAGGGGTCCATCTTAGAATTATTTTCATCTAAATGGTTAATCTAAGAGAAAGGGTCTGGTACTTGAAAAGATAAATATTATCTATTTACGTGGCACATCCCACATTCCTGGGGTCAGATAGAGTGCCATTATACAAAATTTGATTGCTGTTTTGGAAAGCAAGGAGGACAGAAAACAGGCTCTTAAAAGAGACAGGAAACGCTACAGCTTCTGGATGGGCTCAGAAGAGCCTTCCCTCCTCTGCTGGAGGCATCTGGTGAGGATCTCTTGGTCTGGGCACAGCTCATGCTAGGCAAAAGAGTGTGCTTGATGCGAGAGGAAAAGGCCAGTATTTAAACTGGAGTTTGACCCAAAAGCCAGAACCGGGTGACGCATGAAGCTCTTCAGGAAGACACCTCACAGGCTCCTAGCAAGCCTCCTCGCTCTTTGGTCCCTGGCTGAGTTCTGACTAATTAGGCAGAGGGTGGAGAAAGTCTCCAGATGTGTCCTCTGAAGAGTTCCCATTTAATAACACTAATAGCAATAAACCATGAATAATTAATGGATTGTTGCTGCAATTAGCAACTCAAATACCAGCATCATGCTAACGGCTTTATGCATCTCAGTGGCAGATGAAACAGAGACAAGGGTGGTGAGATCAGAGCCCAGAGGAGCACCCAGAAGGGGGGCTGGAGATCTCCCCAGAAGAGGAGGTCTGACAGGAAAGCTGGGAGACAGAATCAGTAGTGGAGCCCAGGGCTGAGGAGAAAAGAAACGCCAGCATGCCTGCAGGGACTCTGAGGCGGCCCCATGGTCAGGACATAACATTGTCTACAGAAAGGGCACTGTGCGAGGGTGGGACGGACACTGCCTACAGAGCTAGAGTTGGGCTTCCCGTGTTCACTTGGGATGCGATATTTTTCCCAGTGGGAAAATCTGAAGACAGACTCACTGGCAGGTTCGCAGCAGGAATCAAGGGCACTGCTCAGATGAAATATTTCATTGAGAGACCAAATAAAAGGTGTTTCTTCAAAGTGCGGTTATGAGTGGTTGGTGAACCTCAAAACAGGTTCAGATTTGTTCTTTTTTTTTTTTTTTTTTTTTTTTTTTTTTTTTTTTGTATTGTCTTGCAGCCAACCAATTTTTTTTTTTTTTTTTTTTTTTTTTTTTTTTTTGTACCAGGGATTGAACTTGGGACCTTGCACTTGCTAGGCAGGCAGCGGCACCACTGAGGTAAATCCTCAGCCCTAAATGTGGATCTCAGTAGTTTCTGTTGTTGTTTTGGTTTTGGTTTTTTTGTTTTGTTTTTAGAGAGGTTCTCCCTAAGTTGCAAAGTCCCTCAAGTGAATTTGAACTTGCATCCTTCTGCCTCAGTCTCCCACAGTGCTAGGGTTTGGGTTTTTTGTTTGTTTGTTTTTTGTTTTCTGCTAGATATTAACCACTGTTGGAAGGACGCCTAACCCTTGTTCATTTCTGACAGGAAGGTGGGGGACTCTTCCCCCACCCCATAAGCACCACCATCCACTTGCCAAAGCCAAAGTAGTATGCCTTTGAAAATGGAACAATGGGCTTGAGGAATTTTTGGCAAACTATGTCAGGATCCCTTATGTAAGGTGAGGAATGCAAATTCTACCCCATGGACAGAACCTAACTCATCAAGGGCAAGTGGCAAATAGCACAAGAGGCAAATTCTGTCTATCATGAACCATGGAAACGGGCTACAGCTTTGGATCTCTGACTTGCAGCTCTCCCCGCACTCCATTCCAAGGCACTTTCTAAATACTAGTTTGCACAGTGGGTACTCACAGACGGTGGTGCAGGTCGGGCCCACTTCGTACTCAGTACCCGACAGGGAAGCCAGGGCTTTGGCTGCACGTTTTGCTACCTCATCCTGGGAAAGGAAAGGACAGAGTGAGAGGGATGAATCCTGGAAGCTGGCAATCCTCGGTTCTCCTGAACTGGTGGTCGGGAGAGTCCTGTCCCCACCTCCACTATCCCCTGCTGGTCTCTTCCTCCCCACCAAGCAGAGCTGAGGCCTGGCTCATCCCCTGTTCCTGTTCCTAGCCCCACTTTGGGGAAGAAGAGTGATAAGCACTCTGAAAGCAGGTGTGGCACATGCTCAAATTCGAAGAGCTGCTTGCAGGCTCTCCAAAGGGCTGGTACACTTCCCACCAACTCGTCACGAATCCAGGAAGGCCCCATCTTCCTTTATCCCCAGGGAGAAGACTTTCCACTCAGGACCAGGAGGAAAGACCAGGTGTGCTCCCGAGAAAACCCCAGAGGAGCTGAGGGTGCAGACAGGGCAGCTACAGACGAAGAGGGTCAGAAGTTTTGTAGCAGGGCAGAGCAGCGCCCTTCAGCAAACCTTCACGGAGGCAGCGGCCTGCAGTCCTGGCAGATGCTCCCCTAGTAAACCTCTAAGTTCTCCCCCATTCAGAGGTGGATCACAGAACATGACCCAGAGCACCCCTAGGCTTCACCTCTTCCTTAACCAGAATGAGAGCACCTCTCCCTTGAACACCACAGTGCCAACAACAGTCTTTGGTGAGTAGTAGGGCTACGACATGCTCCACTAGGAAAACCAAGTGAGAAGGCAAGGCAATGTCACAGTTGGCTAGAAATAAGAGGCCCTATCCCCCTCCTTTCCCGAGTATGTCTGCTGGCACATCCCATCCCAAAGGGCAGAGAGAGAATTCTAGGCCCTTGAGGAGACCCACTCGTGCTCCTGGATTTTCCCTCTAACACTGTAGATTGGCACCCTGGCAGTATCCAGAAGCCAAGCCAACCCAGGGCTGAAGAGAAATCAGCTATCACTCACCAGCTCCTCGGCATCCGGGGCCTTCTTGACTGTGTACCCATAAGGATACATCAGTAACTGTGAGTAGCTATGCAGGTCAATGAAGCTCTTGAAATTCCCATGTTTTTCAATGAAATCTACTACCGATTTCACCTCTATTTCAGAATTGGCATGTGGGCCGTGGTACACTTCAGAGCAAGGGTTGTCACTGGTTCCTTTTCCTGTTGGGGACAGTCCGACCAGAAACAGTAACCCACAGGCCAAGATGACAGAACTGAGGGCAGTCAACCCTGAGGAGGGGCTGGACGTCCTGGCAATGGGCGGGCTACCGTCACATGTCCCTAGAAACCTGTCCATGGCATGTGCAGACTGTGAGGAAGGGAACAGAGAGGGAGGTGGAGGTGGTGGATCTGCCACAGCTAGGAAGGTAAATTACTGTGATTTTTGTTTTTCTTTTTTTGCCATACAAGGAATAGAACGCAGGGATGCTGTACCACTGAGCTACATCCCCAGCACTTTTCATTTTTTATTTTGAGATAGGGTCTCAATAAGTTGCCCAGGCAGGATTCAAATTTGCAGTCCTCTTGCCTCAGCCCCACTTAGTGATGGGATTAGAGGTGTGCGCGAACACATCCATCTTGTTGGGACTTCTTTAAGTGGGTAGAGTTGACCTTATATTATGTCAGTAGTGGCTGTCATAAATAATTAATATCATGCTTGAAAATGAGTTGTAATTAACAAGTATTTTAGATAATTAATATGAATACCAATAAATAATGAAAATGACTCGATTTATTCTGGTGTCAACTTACTCTTTTGGTTCAGATCTTAACAGCCAGCTGCTGCCAAAAATAATTTGTTGTTGTGGCTAACATCTCTTGGTTGTTTGACATGTATTTAGAAATACGGCCTTCTGTATTATTTCACAGTACAGTTGCCTAAGGTATATGGTGTGTGTGTGTGTGTGTGTGTGTGTGTGTGTGTGTGGTCAATTATGGAACTATCTGCCTTAACTTTGATGCCCTCAGTTCCACATTCATGTCAGCTTCTTCCTCACAACCATTATTTTATGGTGTTTTGATACAAAGAAAAATCCATTAAAAATAAAACATCATTGCAGCTGTGGAACAGTGAGAGAGGCTGGATTCTGATTTAAAATTAGAAAGTGAGTTTAGATCCTAATTCTTACCAGCCATATAATCTTGGAGGGTCTTGCCTCATTTCAGATAATAAAAAATTACTCATTAGGTTAGAGAAATAAGGTACATGGGAAAGAACTTGGCACACAACTGGCACTTTTGTGGGAGATGAGTTTTAAATAGCTGGACCTCAGAACCCTGGCCATCTGATTTCCATTCTCTCTTCATGACATTAGGCTGCTGGGGCTCATACTTGCACATAAAAAAATAATTGCTGGAATTTACTTTTCACAACATATAATCAAGGTTTTATTGCTCTTACCTATTAGGGTAAAGGTGCTAATTGCTCTTTTGTGAGTTGCCACAGGAGCCCCTTCTGCCCACTCACAATTTGCCCAACAAGGCTGCTATGGGCAAAGGTAAGGAAGGCCCTGGGACTTATACTTCTGAGATGACAGTGGGTGTTTGTTTGTTTGTTTTGGTACCGGGCATCAAACTTGGGACCTTGTGCTTGCCAGGCAGGTGACATAACCACTGAGCTAAATCCCCAGCGCAAGAGTGGTTTTAAAATATTAGCTTAAGGGGCTGGGGATTTAGCTCAATGGTTCCACTGCCTGCCTGGCAAGCACAAGGTCCCAAGTTCGATCTCCAGTGCCAAAAAAATAAATAATAAAAAATTTAAAATATACATATTAGCTTAAGGACTGGGACAAAGGATGCATAAAGGCCTGAATTTGATCTACAGTATCACCATAAGTAAATACATAAATATTTATTTATTCAATAAAATATGAACATAGTTAGAATCAAAATGCAATGATATTCTGTCCTATCATTCTTTCAGGTGAACAGGAATTATTGAGTTATTTCTGTTCAAAATCACAATTTAAAAAAAATTCTTAAAGAAACAAACAAAACAAATTGACATAAAGTGCTGCCTCTAATTCTCTCAGTGAACAGAGTAATGAAAAAGGTAGAAACTTGCTCCCTCCCTGCCATCTTGGGGCACTGGAGGACAGGTTCACCAACTGCAAAGGAATCCGAAATTGTCTCCCCACCTACCTGCAAAACTTGCATTCCAGTTTCTGTTTGGATCAGTGCCAATGCAGTGGCTTCCCGGATTCAGGGACCGTGTCTTCCTCCATAACCGGTTCTGAAGCAAGTCATAAAACACCCAGAGATGAGTCAGGGCCCAGGAGCAGTGAAAGATTTTTCTGGGTGCTAAGATGGAGACAAGCACAAGAAATGGGACAAGCCGCTTTGTGGGCCTGGCTGGGGCATTTGCTCTCATCCCTCAGAGAGAGGAGTTCACTCCTCTGGTTTTAGAGAGGGACTCCTCCAAAATGGCCCTTTATACGTAAGATCTAGGCCAGTGGGGGCCAATCTATGGCATGCCTGTCACAGCAGGCACACAGAGCCCTCTCCATCGCCACATAAACCAAGTCAGCCCAGAGCAAAGCACTGGATGACAGGTTTTTTGTTTTTGTTTTTGTTTTTGTTTTTTTCTAAATTAAAACCTCAGTATTCAGGTATAATTGCAGTGTTGGCACTTTGCAACAAATAAGTGGATCTTGGGTTGCAGTTTGGGCGCTCAGTATTGAAAAGGTTTGCCAGCACTGAACTAGACTGATCCCAAATGAATGCACTGAATAATTATTGGCTTTGGTAGAAGCGGGACCAATGGCCATTATGTGCCTTGATGATCACTAACGCACTTGAAGTGCAGCACATATTTTATTCTAGCCTTTAAAAATCCACCTGAATCCAGTCACGCTCCAGCCTGGGGAATAAGGGAGCAAATTAAATGGCACAACCAAGAAGCCATCAGCCAAATTCAGAATGTGAGACATTATACAGGAAATTACTTGGTTTCTCCAACAAATGAATGACATTTTAAAAGGATGTGTGGGGGGTGCTATTGTAGAATAAAAGACTGCAGAGACCTCGCAGCCAGACGCAGTGCACAGACCTTGTTAGATCCAGACTTCAACAAATTGACTCCTTGGAGACATTTTTAAGATAATTGAGGGTGTTAGGTGATATTAAAGAGCTTCCATTAATTTTTCAAAGGTGACAGAGGTGTAGTGGATTTGAAGTTTTTATCAGTATTATCATCAGCTGGAGGTAGTTTTGGGTGAAATATCATGATGTCTGGGATTTGCTTTAAAATACATCAAGAAAGGATTGTGTGGGAGAGAAAAAAATGAATAAGATTGGTAAAATGATGATAATCATTCAAGACCCATAATAGGGAGTTCCTGAGACTATTCTCTCCAGGAAAAAAAAATTCCCTGCTGATTCTCAGCTCTGAAAATGACTAGAAAATGAAATCCCAAGGAAACTCGTAATATGCATATTGGTGGAAGTTCTCTCTGAAGGCACCAACAAAGGAAAAAAGTTCACCAAGCCCAGCCTGTTCAGGATTACTCACTTGGGTTTGCGTGTACACATATCCATCAGGATTGGCCACAGGCAACAAGAAAATATCCACTTTCTTCAAGATGGAGGTGATAGCTGGGTCTTTCCCATACTCAGATACAATCTAAGCAGAGACAAGGTACTTGTCAGCTACACCACGCCAGCCTGGGTCACTAGGTCTAAGTCCAAGAGATGCCCCACACCCACCAAGAATGGCAGCTCCTAGAATAGCATCCACCCTTGACATCTCTGAGTCCCTCAAAACCTGAGGTCACAGCTGCAGACACTATCAGCTGCAGTGAGTCCTGTGGCACATGCTTTGTTCGCTCCTTCCAGCAGTGGGGAGTCACACATTTTTAGGAACTTAAACCTCAGTGAAGGGGTAGGGAAGATTTACCCTCCCTATGCAGGCTTAAAACTCCCCTCTTTTACAATATAAGCTTAAAATGGACTTTTTCAAAGGCTCTGAGGTTGCTGAAGGCCTGATGAAGGGAAAGCTGGTCTGAGTGTGGTGCTAGTGTTGCTCTCTCCCTTTGAGAGACCCATTATGGGTCAGTGTCTTAGGGCCACCTCTGTGGCTCATGAGCCTGCTCACTACCCCTCTGTTACTCAGCCACTGTGGGCTGACAAAGAGGCTTTGACCCAGCCTCCAGGGTTGGTGAAGAGTGCCTTTCCACCTTGTCCCCTGGATCCAGCCACATGGTACACTTCAGGGCCCCTCCCAGGCCCACCAGAATCCTTGGCTAATACCGGGCGACATGACCTTCCTTGCCATCCAGATGGCAGTGGCTTGCGAGATCCACTCTCGGGAATGGATGCCTGCATTCAGCCAAATGGCCGGCCTCTGTTTGCCTCCTCCTGTGCTGAACTGCAGAAGGAAAAAAGAGGCCAGAAAATGACCCACCTGCCTGCGTCTCTGCTCACCTCTCCTCTCCTCAGCTCGCTCCTATTCATTTAATTCATTTAGGATAATTCAGAGACCGAATGTTCCTGAGGGCACCATCTATTTATCAGGCTTATCCGTGACCAGGGAGCTTAATTGGTTGGCTGCAGCTCCAGGCAGCCTGAACCTCTCCAGCATTGGGAGCAAATGGGAAGGAGAAACAATTGTTATTGTGGATTAGAATGCTGCTGCGATTAGCGATAATAGTATGTCTCTTGAAAGACCTCAAATGGTAGCTCAATAGAGACAGACACGAGGTGCATGAACCAGGCTGTTTTGCAGATGCAATAAATGAATTCGGTTTTAAATTAGGAGGAAGAGGGCTTCGCTATAGTTCTTTGTAAATGGCAGTAATGAATTCTAACTCCAGCCTTGGCATAGCGTTGGGACCCCTTGGGTCAGAGCTTGGTGCTAATGAAGCCAGGGTCTCCATCGGATGGGCAAATAATCTAAATGTAATTATTTTAAAGCAACCAGCCAGTGGCAGGTCTCCCCTACTGCTGGTAATTTTCTGTAAACCTGGGTTCTTCAGTGCTTATATGAAGCTAAGGGTTTGGCAAATTCTTAGCTCGATCAATTGTTCCTTGCTTTATATACCCAAATTCCTTTTTATTCACTCAGCTGGATTATTTATGTAATTTATGCCATTGTTGTAGTTCTCTATCTCTTTTGCCAATGCAGAATCTGAATCTATTAGAAATATCTGGAAATTAAGCTTTGTGTAGCAAGGATCAGAGGTGGGCTTAACATTCTGTCATCAGAACGTTATCGTTATGTATATCTAAAATGTACCAGTAAAATCAATTGATTTTTTTAAAAAAGAAAAAAATCATCAACCCCAAAATTAGCTTTCTAGGTTGCTTTGCCCAGAAGTAGCCCTAAAGTCAGAATAGACTGGTAGACCTATCCCAACTTCCCTTGCCACTAACAGACGGTGGGAATACAGCAAGGACCACAGCCCCCCACCACAGCCCTGAATTCTAGCAGTTCTAGCATTCTGCCTGTCCTCTGATCCTTCCTTCCATCAAAACAGGAAATAGGATTACTCCTTCTGGCAGCGTTACACTACACAAAAGCAGGTAACTCATCAGATCAAATTTGAGCCCACAGAAGATGCCTCCCAACTTCACTCTCCTCCCCGAAGTCACAGAGAATTCTACAGAGCTGCCTCCCTCAGGGATCTGAAGCTGGTTTCTGAACACAAGGAGCTAGCTATGAGGCCTCACCTTCAGTACATACATGGGCCGCTTTTCAAACGTCTGTCCGATCTTCACTCTACTTGCCAGATCAGGAAAATCGGTGGCAATGCTGTCCATCTCGTGGTAAATCTGAAATATGAAAAAAAATGAGTCCATGGGCATTTTAAAAATTTGTTCAGCTCTGGGTGGGTATCTGAACTTTACCTTATTTGACTTCATGATTTTTTTTCTGGGCCCCTGATCTTGGAGTTGACCATATTATGGGATGATTATTACAAAGAACTGGCTGAAGAGTCTAACCTTTCAATTTTCTACAGAATAACATATTTCGTTTGTCCACAAAATGATAATCCATTCAGTTTAAGTAGAAAGACCGACACAGGTATTGCTCTCCAACTGTGATCCTTTGTATCACTCTGAGCTGGGCAGTCAGATCAGCCCCACTTAGCCAAGGCTCTTCAGGACCACTTTCCACGTCAGCAAGAAAGAATTTAACATTTACCAAGAAACTATATATACTACCATACAAATATATTGAGAACATTATGAAAAAAGGCATAGAAATTATTGTATTATATATAAGTATATAAGTATAAATAGAAGATGGAACAGTTTCTTCCTCCACCCCAGTGTGTTACAGGCACCCCCACTTTGAAGGTGATTTCTCCAAAAGATTTAGCAGAACAAATGATGACGAGTTGTAAATAGGGACTAAGACTATTCCCAATTGCTTTCAGGGAGAAAAAAAGACTGTAATTTAAATAAGGTTTATCCATTTTAGTTTCTCTAATCATTTGAAGGCCAAAAGGAGGTTATAAATAAATTTGTTTAATCCTTAAGATTGGAAGAAGGAGCTAGACACAGGAGGAAAATTGCAATCAATGTGGGATAAAATCAAGCTTATAGAGTTTATAGACTGGCAGTCAATGTGGCAGACTGAAAGGGAAGAAGCCACCCCCCAAATACAAGGGGCAAATGGATAAAGTACAATGAAAGTAATTCACAGCCAGTTGAAAAGCTCACAAAAGGGAATCTATAGGTGCCAGCAACGAAGAGGGGACTAACCCATAGGGAAGAGCTCAGGAGAGGAGGCCTTGGGTGCTGAGTGTTTAAAATCCAACATGGCACAAAAAGCTAGAACTGGAAATTGGCTAACTTGGCCACAGAAAGGGCTTAGAAAGTCTCCTCTACACCCATTGACCTTAGAGTGAAGGAAAATGGGGATTCCAGGAGCCATATGAGGAAAGAGAGTCACCCAGGAAACCTGAAAGCACCTGTGTCCACACATAGGTATAGGTTCACACCACCAAGGCACCACCGCATTACGCATGTAGGAAGGATCTGGAATCAGAACCCTGCCAGAGACACACACGAAATTTCCACTAGGGACCTAAGAGATCCTAAGTGGTTGTAGGTATGAGCTCTTCAAAGAATAGAAAATGAGGTTAGGAGGGAGGCGGTGCACGAATCTATGGCAAAGGGTTTTCCCGGGAACAAGAGAGCTCGTTTCCTTCTAGCTGGAAACTAGATCACAAAGGGACCTAAAGCCAGAGAAACCAGAGGCAAGTGGATGAGAAAGAGAGGCTTGGACAGCCAACAGGTGAGGGAATGGCCCCTCTGGGTCCCAGGGTGACATTTGCAACTGGTTAGCTCAGCTGGGGAGGGCCTCATGATAACGTCATGGGTTTGATCCCTGTGTGGGTCCTGAGGCTCTACTTTCGTCCGTGGCCTGAGAATGAACTCCTAACTTTATCCAGCTGCTTTCCAGATGTATGACATTGGTCACAAGAAGGATCAAGGGGCAGTGCCGTTGGAAGTGTATACGATAAACAAAGCTCCTGACAATCATGGAAAAGATAAATGGTCAACCTTTGAAAATAATTCCTCATCTAGAAAAGAATATATATGTCTCATAAAAAGCATGCCAGGAACATTATGTTTGCACATAAATAATGACATGTACTAAGGTACATGAGGGAGAATACCGATTTAGATTTGTTTAATCCTAAAGATCCCAAGAAGCAGCTATACACAGAAGGAAAATTGCAATCAATGTAGAATAAAATCAAGCTTACAGAGTTTACCTGAGCTAGTGGAATGAGGGAGATCCTGGGGATCATAAGAGAATTATACTACTCATGATGCAGTTCCATTCTACAGTCCCTCTTGATTTCTCAAGTTCCAAAATTATATGAAATTATTCTGTTCCAAGTTTTCATTAGAAAGTTTGGCTTATCTTAAAAGGCAGTCATCTATATAAAGTGGTTTCCAGCTAAACACAGCATCAAAAATGCATTATGGAACAAATGTACGTTATAAGAAGTCATGATGAATACGTGGAAATATTTGGTTAACCTTGGAAATAACCACTTGTCTACTTGCTTGGCACCGGTAACTTTTTTTTTCTCAGTGAGGGATTACAGTGGGGGACAAGAAGGTTGAGTTATAAGGACTAGAAATGATTGCAATTATTTCATGGTTTTCTTTAAGTGGTTGCTTAAGAAAAGAAGCACAAAAAAGAAAATATATGTGTGTTGGGGGAGGCATCCAGTTTGTATTTCAATATGCACTTAGGTGCAGGTAGGAATTAATTCAAGAAATAGAAAAGAATTACTGTCACACGCTAGCCCCTCTGTGAATGATATTACACTGGAGACGAATGCCTCCTGGAAGTAAGGAGAAAGGTTACAAAATGCAGGAGACAAAGAACCTTGGCCTTAAATCCGCTCTGCAACACTTACAGCTTCCAGAGAATGGTACGCCCCATAGTTGAAGTTATTATCACTCCGCTCTTGCCCTTCATTGAGTTGCATTTCTTCATCTTCAATATCTAAAAGGTCCTAAAAGCAGTCACAGCAACATGATGAAGTGATCCACTGGAAATACAGGTTCATGGCTTTCCTGCCATACCTTGGTACATGGGTGGACCAAGACAGTGACACCCTCGGTGTGAAAAGCAACACAAATGTCCAGGACTCAACAGGGTCAGATTGCTTAAATTATACAAACTAAAGATTAATGTGCAAGAAATGGTAAGCTCAAGTGTCTACTCCTAAAGGAACATTTGTTCTGCATAGCTACATGATACCCCTGATTTAGAAGTAGTTTAAATGGTAGACCGACAGAATTATTGGTATTCGTTTTCGTCTAAGATCTTTATTCTCCTGTTCTTGGTCCTATTGAAACATGTCAGTGAAAATGAGAAAAGAAGAATAAAATGGAAATACAGTTTTGTAAATGAGGAGGGGGAAAAGGAATGAAGGCGGAGGGGAATGGGAAAGAAAGAAGAGTCAAGACGTATCACGTACAGGTACAAGTTCCCTACGATGAATGTGATTGTTATGTATATCTAAATTGTACCAATAACTTAATGAAAAAAAGTCAGTGTACAAAGACACTGCAAAGGAGAAAAGCCATTAACATCTGTATGTTGGTCATCATGATCAGTGTGGTACAACTTTCAAAAACAAAACTGTCGCACCCTTCATGACCAAAAAAAAAGGGAGGGGAATCAGATTTCTTTCATGTATCTATATGAATCATATATCTAACTTTACTTCTTGGTGTCTAATTTATTTATACCACCCCATTTCAAACCTACTTACTCTCTGGAAGAAACATATGTGCTATTTGGTTATTCTATGGTATGAAATCTCTAGACATCAGCCTGCATCTGGTATCCAGTGCCTCTGAAATACACAGCTTGGGAAACTATTCAGAAACAAAGAAATTCTTACAACCACTCCTACTTTGAAGGTTCCTGGCAGATGTCTGTGACATGTGAGGATGATTAATAAGCTCACAGCTGCTCACACCATCAGGAAACTCCCGGGCCAAATCACCAATTAATCTATAACCCACCTCAGTGAAGGAGAGAGCGTGAGCCAGACACCATCCTGCTGTTCAGCACAGGTCGTGGGACGGATGGTGATGTTCCCTCTGCTGGGGACTGTTAGTGACATTGCCCACTTTCTCAAAGGGCACTTCTTACAAAACGGTCTCCAATACTCCCACCCACCCCTCCATCCTTGCCTCCTAACTGCAAATAAGAAAAAGGAGAGGTATTTATTACTTACTGGGATGTCTATGACGTATCAACTATTGTTGGACATTTTACATTAATGAAAGAATCTTCTTAGTAAACTACATGGAAAAGAAGAGAATCCCTACTGTCATTTTGCTGATGAAGAAACAGAGGCTCAAGAGGGTATAAGTTTGTCCAAGACATAGCACTAGTAGTTAACTAGTACTTAGTAGATCCCTATCTGCTACAACATGCTGTTCCTTTAACAAGTCACTGCACCTTACTTCTATTTACCTCAGTTTCTTCGTCTATGAAATGAAAAAGAGGACAACAGACCTGGAAAATCTCTCAGGTCCACTTTGGATTGGTAGTTTGGTCCAAGACAAGTATGGCCGACCCACCTGTAGGTCATCAATTGTCACTGAATACTCCAAGCCCTGGGTCTTCAGGAAGGATTTGACTGACTGCAGACTGACAGATGGGACCAGAACATCCACAGGCCGACTGAAGGTGGAGGGAGACTTCCAGAAGTTGAGCTGAAGGGAACAGAAATGAAACCAGGCTAAAAGGACAGTTCAGGTAAAGCACACAATAGCTCATTATCTGAGCCACTGTCAAAAGCCAGGGTGATCCCTGAGGGGCTGAGCTCCACTGAAGAAAGACATTGTCTACACAACCACAAGTGGTCAGAACTGCCCAGCAAGCTGTACCTGCCAGAGACCGAGGTATGGTAAGTCAGTGGCAGTTAGGAGGGAGGAGCCCATTGCTCAGGCCTTCCATGCCCCAGAACTGAACTGCTGTCACCTGTAACATTTCTCCTCCCCTCACTTGTATAAATGGCACACTGACTAATACAGGAACAGAGAAAACCCTCAGGAATAAAAACAATACCACCTGGAGTACAGTGCCTTCTCCCACCAAAGTCAGAACACTCAAGAGGACAAAGAATTACGTACCTTAAAATTGTCCGAATTCACAAGCTGAGTCAGTTTGCTGATCTCGTCTCCATTTCTGACATTAACCCTAAAAACTTGGTCCCTAGAGAAGGAGTGGGGAAAAAAAGCAGAAGTTAATGGTGAGCTTTCCAGTGGAAAATAAACCCCAAACCCGCTGTCCCAGACAGAACTGGGCCTGGTGGTTTAGTTTTTGGTTGTAATGTATAGCCATTAAAAATAAGACTTCGTGGCAAATCTGAAAAAGTGCTTATGTATAACTTTAAGGGAAAGAGTAAGTGAAAGAGCAGGACACAAAATTGTACGTATGCCATGGTTACAAGTATGGAAAAAGCAGATGCATTGGAAGAGAAACAGACAACGGAAATATACCAAATGCTGACAGTGCTCAAGTTCGGGTCGTGGGATTATGGATGACTTACTTCTTTCTCTCTTGTATCTGTTTTCTGTAATGTGGTCATATTACTTTATAATGAAAAACATATATATTTTTACAGAAAGGAATGTTCCTGAGTTACACGCAAAGCTAACTCAAGACACAAAGAAGCACTTCTTCACTGTCAGGGCTGAGGGCTGAACCCTTGGCAGAGCCTCCACACGGGGAAGAGCTGGAAAAGGGAGCGACCCCCAATCCAGGGAAGGCCAGCTGCTGTCCTCTTAGGGAAGAGGGGAGAGGCTGGGTGCTGGCCCACCCGTCTACCCCCAGAGCACCATACACATGTGCGTTACCATGGAAACAAATGGGGCCCCAGGTGTGAGGCTGAACTTGGGATTCACTGCTGCCTACAGCCCCTGAGAGGGCCCAGAAGGGGCCTGCCAGTCACAGCCCCCATCATTGTTTGTCCTGCACTTGCTTCATATACATTATTTAGCTTCCACAGCGGCAGGGGAAGAGGGCCCGAAGTCCTGTGTGGGTGGGAGAAGGCCAAGCTTGAAAAGCGTGCTTTGTGCTCTCAGCCCACTCAGGGAGCCAGGGGAGCCATTAGTCTGTTGCTAGGTGACGGCCCAAATGAATCCGTACTCAATGCTGTCACATGCGTCATCCCTTTGACATGAGTGAATGCAGGAAGAGCTGCTAGAGAGGGCTGTGGGCTGAAGGACCTGTTGACAGAGAAAATGGTTCTGTCACAGGGAGCTAAATGTGCAGCCTCACGTGGCAGCTCCTTATCAGAAAGCTGGTTTGCTCCAAATGGATCCTCAACGTTCCACTTGGTTCTGGAAGGTTCTGTGGGCTCTCAGAGGCTCTGGGCCAGCCCTAGGGAGACAAGGTCCACTGCAGAGTGGTCTCCACCATGATTTTGTGACAGATCTGGAGAAGATGCCAATTTGGGAGGCTTGCCTTCCCCCACCCAGCTGGTCCCCATAGGGTCCTGGAGGTAGGCAACTAACTGCACCCCTGAGAGCTGGGGTCCTGGTAGAGAAGCTCTAGATGGGCAGGTCTCAGTACGAATTTCTAAGGTTTGGATATGGTTTGGATATGTGCTGAAGTCTGGCTCCCAGGGTAGTGACATTGGGGGAGGAAGGAGCTTTAAGTGGGGGGAATCTAGTGAGTCCTGCAAAGGGATTAATGTCGATCTCTCAGCCTTACTTCCTGAGAATGGATTATTATAAAAAGAGCGAGCCAGGCATGGTGGAGCATGCCTGTAATCACAGCACTCCGGAGGCTGAGGCAGGAGGATCGCTGTGAGTTCGAGACCAGCCTGGGCTAGTGAGTGCCAGGTCAGCCTCAACTACATAGTGAGACCTTGTCTCAAAAAGCCAATAAATAAATAAATAAGAGTGAGCCTAGCCCCTGAATCTCCCTAGCTTCCTTTCTTGCCATGTGCTGTCTGGCTCTTGAATGTGCTCCAACTGTGATGCCATTTACCATGGTATGGTGCAGACAGGGGGACCTCACAAGAGGCTGAACAGATAAGACCACCCACCCAATCCTGAACTTTCAGCCTCCAACACTAAGCTAACTAAACCGGTTTTCATTATACATTATCCCTCCTCACATATTTTGTTATAACAATGGAGCATGAACTAATATAGAACCCACCCAGCTTGCTAAGAGTTGGACAGCAGCCCTGGGAAGATGGAGAATCAAACTACCATTTCCCTGATACAGGTGAGCAGCCTTGAGGTGGTGGGGAAAGATGAGTTTTAAACAGAAGGAAAATCCTCACTCCTGGCTGAGGACCAGGACCAGTCTGCCAAACTCATGGTCTCTTACAACCTACCCCAATACTTTTACTCCAGTAAAAGGAGTTTAAAATGGGCTTCTAGGAAGAGCCTAGTATAGATCTCTAGGGGCATATCTTTGGTGTGCGTGTCTCTAGTGGCAAAACCAGGCATTTATAAAATAGCACTGGCTAGAGAAAGCACCAAGAAGGGGATAGAGAAGGAACAGTAAGAAAAAAAGAGGGCCATCAAAACAAGAAACTGTGAACATTTTACTGTGCATTCATCCATGATAAAGTGCATGCATTACACTTTTTCCAAAGTGGTGGCTTCCATACTCCTGGGCACTGTTCACAAGAGTGAAACACAGTGACTCTAATTGGCCTAATAGTGATTAAGTACACAGCCCCTTTCATCATGCTCACAACAGCCAGGCTACAGAGGTTAAAATATTTCTGTAGTGTGCAGAAGGCAGGGCAGCAGGGCTGACGCAGAATGGAACCTCTTCCACGGGACTTTCTCCGCCTCTCTCTTCCAGGCCCTGCTTAGCTCCAGCTCCGGTAAAATCCCAAATTCCCCATATACTTTCCTTGGTATGCCTTTGTACTTACTGTTCTGTCTGCCTGCAATCCCTCCCCTTTTCCTTAACTGCCTGGAGATCTCCCACCCAGTCTTCAGGACCAGCTCATATTACCCACAGATTCCCCTAACCAGAGGAGGCAAATTTGGTACAATCTTCGGATAGTGCTAAAAATAGTACTTCTAGTGTCAGAAATTCTTACGAACACCCGCACATCAATGTCTGAAGGCACAGAGGACATCAGTGGGTGCCATGCAAAAGGCAGCCTTTCACTTGCCCTCACTGTCCTTGTCTCTATCTGGAAAATGCCCTATCCAGGTCACTGTCTGGAAATTCATTCAAACATCTTGGCACGAGCTCTTTCTGAAGGTGGAAGACTACCAGAGAGGAGGACATGTAGGGATTTATAGGTGTCTGTGTCTGCCTCGCTTGCCTACACAAGTATTCTGATAGCTCTTCTGGTCCTCTTCCATGCCCAGTGTTATCCAGTTGCTTCCAGCCATGGTTGTCACCCTCACACTTGTCCTGTGCCCTGGACAGTCAGTAACTGCCTCCACCATTACTACGCTAACAGTCAGGCCAGGGATTTAGCTCAGTGGTTCTGCCACCTGCCTGGCAAGTGCAAGTTCCCGAGTTTGTCTCCCAGTACCAAAAAAAAAAAAAAAAACAAAACTAAGCCAACAGTCCAAGGGCCTGTTCCTTATGCCTCTCTCACCTGCACCCCCAGCCAGGCTTAGCAAGCACCATGAATGACAGTCAGAGATGATATTCTTAGATGTCTGCTAGCTACCACTGACAGCACAGCAAGTCCCACAACTACTAACCACATCCTGTTCTCTGCCTGCCTGGCACTCCAGGCATCCTTGGCCATCGTTTCAACCTTACAATCCCTGCAGACCAGGATGGAAAATACCAAGAGAGCAAGGGAAAAGGAGAAGAGGGGCAGCAGGAAAGCCAAGTGGAAGGGGAGAAACTGTCATTCACAGCTCTATCTGCCAATCTCTGTCCTGGCTTCACAACCATGCGAAGGATTCCCTACCCTTTCTGGGTTCCCTTCTATAGAGTGAGAACAGATTTAGGGGTGAGGATGACACTGTTGATTAAAACCACCTGCAATCAGCTTAGGTGCACAGCCCTTTCTGTGCAAAACTCCCACTCTAGTGAGCTATCTAGGGCTCGGAACAGCTGTCTCAGCCCAGGTGCCCACTGCACTGGAAGAGAGGTCTGTACCCTGAGAAATAGAGATTTTCAGCCACATGAATAGCTGTAGTGGGAGCCTGACAGCTCCATGTGTCAGCCCACACACCAGTGAGTGTAGCTGTGACGCACCTACTGCTGAGCTGCCTGTGGAAAAATCTCCCTGTCCAGCCACCTGCCGTGCCTACCCCTCCGAGCTATTTGGCAGAGGAAGCACAGGTATGAACAAGTCATCACCATAAAAATTACTCAATCTCATATAAGTAATTACCTCAATAAACAACCCCAGAGTGTCTTTAACTAAATAGTATAATAGAGAGTAAACTAATAGATGCAGGGACCCGATAGAGGATTCTATTCGAAGATGAACTTGTCCTAGGAAAAAGGTATGGGTTTTTGAATTCAGAGTTTCAACCCCCCTGCTTATCAGCTAAGTGGCCTTGGGGTGGGGGTGGGGGTCCTTAACCTTTCCAAGGCTGAGTTTTTTCATGTTTAAATTGAGGAAAATAACAACCCTGCCTGGCGGAGTTGTTGCATGATCTAAAAGATAATGTGCATAAGAGCTCTTTGCAAATGGCAAAGCATTCTGCAGTAATGAGTTGTTATCATCCAATCTTCTAGCAGGGTACCGTGGCATCTCCTTTCATCTCTCCTATCTCCCAAACCTCTTATCCCCCCACCCCGCAAACTTCAGAGCATTCTGTGGGGAGTGAGTTGTGTCATATGCACACACATTTGCACACACAGCACAGGTGTGTGCCCCCGCGTTAATTTTCATAGCTGTAGTTAGGCAAGACCTATTAAAGCTCACTGTCGCAGAAGTTGGGGAGAAAGCACTGGCTCTACATGGCCTTCACCACTAACAGAGAGGTGAAGCCAAATGAAGCCAAAAAGCCTGGGCCAGGTTTTTCCCTTTAAGCATGGCAGCAGTTAAAAACAAATTATATCCAGTCTTTCTTAGTAATTAATAATGTAGGAGTGAGAAAGTAAGAGATGATTGGAACTGACCTTACGAATAAGAACTACAAAGAAAAAGAATTAACAAGGGATTAGGAGGAAGCTGGGGAGAGACTGTGAGGACCAGTAATCCCAATGTCACCAAAAACTCAGGTCACAGAGAGAAGTAATTTGTCCAGGATGACACA